CCCGAGGCGCTGAAGCCTTCCAGAAGCCCCGGGGAAGGAAGACTATTTACTGACCACGCACCAGGGCTGGTGCCAGGCAAGTCCATGGATATTCTCAGCACCTTGTCAATGGGGGCGTGTGCCTCCACTTGCAGGAATGGGGTGGGCAGGCTTACAGACCACAGGTGATGCCAGCGCTGGGGTTGGAATTCAGACACTAGAGTCTAAGACCTTCCCTCTTTTAGAGAAGCCTGTTTCAGATGAAAGAAAAACTACTATCTAGGTGAAGAAAACCAAGAATGAGCTCCATGAGTGAGCTGGAGTTACAAAACACAGCTGCCGGGAAGCTCGCACACCAAAGAGAGGAAAAATGAAGCCGAAAGGGCTCCTCATGGTTCAGTCCGGCAGGGGCGGGAGAAGGGACTGCAGAGGGGAGGGGGGGTGGCTTTGCAACCTGGCCCCCACGCAGAAAAAGACCTCATTCTCCTGAGAGCCCCAAAGGGGGCTAAAGGCAACAGCAGAGTCTCAGAGTGGAGGCCAGAAAGCGAAAGCGGCATTCCGAGGAATCCTAGCTGTAGGGAGGGCCTGTCACGGGCCAGAAAGGGGCACGGAGCAGAGAACAGCTGGAAGTGTAGGCTGCAGGCCTAAGCCAGGCCGCCCCAGTGACAGGACACAGGATGCATGTGCCCCGGAAGAACTGCTGGGAAAGGAGAAGATGTGGAAGGTCTGGCTCCAACTCTTAGGATGGAGTGGACAAAACGGTGACGAGCTTCACTGAGCAAGGGGATGGGAGACCTGGCTGGGCCCCTTTCCCTTAAGGCGGGGAGAGGCCGCATCTCACCCTGTTGCTCAGAGAAAACAAGGGGCTGGAAGGAGGGGAGGGGAGGACCCACCGCCTCCCACCCACCCCCACCCCCGCGAAAGGCCTGCCCTGGGCTGGTGGGGCCTCTCGTGGAGTTCAGTTCTTGGCCAGAAACCCCTGCCGGGGACCTCAGAAGGTCTGAGGGAGGCTCAGCAAACCTGGCGGCTGCTCTTCGGGTTTGGCAAACTCGAGATGTTTCCAGCGCTTTGTGTGCAGCAAAACCGAAAATGTGTTTGGCTAGAAACCCTCCTCTAATTTTTAAACCCCTGTGCATTTATTTATTTATTTATTTTTTACATAAATTTGATCCACATGTTTTTGATTTACTTTTATTTCACTCATCAAATCGAATTAGGAGCTACAATGATGAAGGGAACAACGCTGATTTCCAAGAAGATTTTTGAGCCTTTTTTCCTAGAACTAAATCATCTCCCCACCCCACCCCCTCCCCCTGCAACCGTTAGAACCACCAGATTGAGCTGGGCTTGAAATTCAGAACCCAAATGTGAAATAAAGATCCATGTTTGGCAAAGGAAGCACAGCAGGGGGATGTTCTTAGGAAGCCACAGAAAGCCAGAGGAGGCTTGGGGTGGGGGTGGAGGGATGAAGACAGGAAAAGAGTCAGTTATTCTTCATTAGAAGGTTTAAATCAACCTACCTGGCTTTTTGGGCTCTCAGCAGAAGCCCCAGCTATTACTCTGATTTGAACACTACGACCCCGAGAAAAGGAGTTTCTGTCTCAAGATCAGGGATGAGGGGTCCCCTGTCCCCATCTTTTCTCTGCACTCCTCTGTACTTGCCAACTCAAACTGCTCCTCGTCTTCCCTCCAACCTTCCTCCTCTTTCCTTGCTCTGGCTAAGGCCTCTCCATCTGGAAGCGTTTAAAATGTACGACAATTTTAATCTCGTGCAAAGGAATCTTGGAATCTATGCTACATACCCATTAAGCGAAATTATAGGCACACAATCTTATTTTGCACAATTCCGTCTGGCCTAGGTTGGCACCCACCAAAGGCCATTACTGTCTTTCCCAATTACTTTTCCTACTACACCATCATTTGCTACAACTTCTGTCTGAGGCCAGCAGTATTTCTATGGGAAACTTGGGCCACTGAGGTCCCAAAACAAAGGTCTCTCCTCAGAGCCCCTCAAACCAGTACTGAGTGGGTCCCTTGGCCACCGTCCAAAGAAATTTCCTTGAACTCGGCTTCTCTCCCCTACATACCCTGATCGAATTGCACAGGCCGGGGTCCAAATACCTTCTTGTTATTTAACAGCTGTACAACTTTGGGGGAGTTATTTCACTTCCCTGGGTCTCAATTTCCCATTCTATAAAATGGGTATAATAATCATACATACCTCACAGAGTTGCTGTGAGAATTGAATGAAATGCGTGTTAAAAAAAAAAAGTTATGGTGTATGGCCCCCAGACTAAGTAATTAACAAATGTGACTTGTTATTGGTATTATAAAAGCTCTGCACTTCTCTAAGGGTATTTCAATTTTTCCAGAGGTAGACAGTTTCTTTTCGAATCCTCCCTATTCCTCACCAATGCTGAAATAACCAGCCCACTTCCCCGCAAACCAGCATCTCCCCAGAGAGGTGACATGAGGCTTCTGATCAACCAACTGGGACATTTCATCAGTCCTCAGGGGCCTCCCACACAGACCCATGCTGTGAAGTACAGTCTCTTCTTGGGACCCACAGAGCAAAGTGACAGGAAGATCTATATCTAACTGCACAGAGATCACTCTCCTTCAAACTGACCCGAACCCCTTCTCCCTTTATACAGAAAGCACGTGTATGTCGGGGGCTGGGGGGTAAGAAGGAGGTTTTCAGGCTGCTTTCAGAAGCAAAATGGTTCATTAGTGCTTCCTGAGACACTCCTCACCCCAGGAACATGCATCACATGTCATCTGTCCCTTTTGGGAAGTGGAAAGGTGACAGTGCCATTTAATATGTCTGATAAATGCTTCTCTCCCAAGGCGGGAAACAGAGATGTCCATGAGTATTTATTGTTTTCCTCTGGCCAGGAATAGTTCCAGCAATAATTCATGGATCTTGATGTTGGCCAGAATAGAGAGACCAGGGATCCCTAGCCTCTGGGGGACCTTGGGCACTTTATGAAGTCATGGTCCTCACCATGCAGAATTGCTGTGAGGGCTACAAAGGAGACATCAGCAGGATCCTGATGAATGGTAATTCTTTCCATCAAGCTAACCTCACCTGAGATCCTGTGTGGGATCAGGAAATCTGTGTCTTCCAAGCCTGATATTTTCCAGAGCTCTTCCACTCAGTGGCCCCCTAATATCCTGTGACTAGGTGTATTTTGGATGACAGCCCCAGCAATAAAGGGCTCTAAAGGAACTGCCCCACTCACATCCCTGCCAAAGGGGTGGGCTTAGGTGACTGTGCCCATCCATGACTGAAAAAGGACATACAATCGGAAGGGGCAGTCCACAGGCTGGGAAGTCACTTGTGGCCTGGTATATAAAAGGTGAATTGGGCCAATGAGATTCCTCTCTGGTAATCTGGAATTGGGACAGCAAGAAACTGGGTTGCTGGTAGCAGAGACATACAGAACATGGCTGGCCACGTTAATGGCAAAACACTCTCATGGAGGTGACAGATTCCCACTGCGGAGGCTTTCCAGGGCTGTCTTGAGCCCAAAGCCGCCCTCCCATAAAGCCTGGCTGTTCAAGGGTTCTTGTGAACACCATACACATCTCTTCCAATGTCAGTAAAATAAATATTTCCTTTTTTTGAGTTAGCTTGAGTGGGTATCTGTTTCCTCCAACAAAAAGAGCCTTCACTAAAACAGCACCTACCCTTGTGAAGAACACACAGATGGAGCTATGGCTGAACATTCTGGGCATTTCCAGTACAAGGCATTGCTTTAACAGTTAATTACGCGGTAAGTCAACACCGCCGAGTCCCAACTCACTCCTCCCTGGCTCCCCACTCCTGTAGAAACTGGAAAATTTCCTAGCTGCAAGGGAGGTTGCTGTCTCTCCCAACCTCCCTTGCAGCTAGGGGAGGTCATGTGACAAGTTCTGGCCAATGAGATGCAAGAGAATACTTTTTGGGACAGATAGTCTGCCCCACTGCGTCCTGCCTTGCATCACAATGTACTTGGAGCTGCTGCCACCATCTTGCAACAATGAAGGAAAAGTTAGAGAAGCAGAGATGCCAGCCCTGGCAGCAACACTAGCAGCCACCAAGTTCCAGCCTTTGTTATGTGAGAAGCATAGACCCCTAAACTACTATTAACATTTTTCTATAACTTAGAACCAAAATCTTTTCTAAATTATATACTCTGAAATAGAACTTGATATTGTTTCCTGTATTGTAAGAAAAATGATTTTTGAACGAAATACATGACAACTTGTTTTTCAATGAATTTCTCCAGATACCAGCTGAGTGATACACGCTCTCCAGGTAATTAAAATCTAAGCGGGGAGAAACTATATACATCGACAACTGTGCTATAAGGCAGAAAGTGAAAATGCCATGAGGCCGCGGCTCCACGTGTATCGGGAGGAAGGAGAGCATTTACTTCTGGTGGGAGACGGGGAAATTGGGGAAGGCTCCACAGGAGAAACATTGGAGGAAAACCCTAGAGAGGAAGAGAATTTGGATGTTTAGAGATGGGTAGGAAGGGCCTTCTAGGTGCAAGGAGTCGCGTAAGTAAATACGGGAAACTGAAGGCCACGTAAAGGAAATTGCAAGTTCCTTCTGGCTGGTGTAGGGGAACAAAGATCAGATGAAAAACGCGAGACCAATGTATCACAAGCCCTGAGTGCCAAGGGAAGGAGTCTGGGCGTTATTCTCTAAGCCGTGGGGTGGTGCTGAAGGCTTCTAAGCAAACAGGGTGAGCGTAGTTGTGTAGGAAAATCTGCCTGATGCCATTATGTGGGATGAACTGAGGAAGCCGGGAATGCCACGAGGGGGCTATGCAGCTATCAGGGCAGAGGCGGTGAGGTATGAAACAGGACAGAGTGAGACGGGAGTGGGAAAAAGAAACAGACGTGAGAGACACTGCAGAAATACATGTGCCACAAGCTGGCTACCGTCTGGAGGTGGGGTGTGAGTCATGGGGAGAATAAGGAAAGAAAAGTGTGTTATTTTACAAAATAGAAACAGAAACGCCATGTGGTACCTCTGGAGCTGAAGACAGGAATGGTTTTATGTAGATGTTGGAGTCATGCACCTTCAGGTCATGGTCCCCTAGTCCCCTGGTCACTCCAATAGTTGCCATTACTCGCGCCTAGGAGTCAAAGAAGAGGGTCATGAGAAATACTCACACACACACAGAGCCACAGGCTAAGAGCGCAGCAATCATTTTCCAATTCCTCCTGCCTCTCTCTGCCCCTTGCTGCTAACGTATGTGGGTAGTTGTTTCCAAGGAAAGCTCACCAAGATCACTTAACGTCCTTAATGAGTGGCTTTTCTGCCAATTACCTCAAGTTTAATGGGTTGCAGGACTGTCTCTTCAGCTTTCTTTTATAGAGACTGGAGGGAAGGGTGACCAATAAACTAAATCCGATACATGTGTGATGTCTACAGCTACTAAAATCAGTGCAAACCAAATCCAACAGCATGCATGCATGCATCCACCCATCCATCCATCCATCAGACATTCACCCATCTGTCTGTTACATACCTACTCTACAAGTATTTCCATGATAAGGCACTAATAAAAAATGTAAAGAAGTCAGTGGCAGCTCCTGTCCTCCCAAAACTCATATTTAGTGGCTGGAGAAAACAGACCATGAGCAACTCTGTAAGCTACCCTAATATCACCACAGATTCTCTCTGGGTGGAAAGGAACCTGTTACTTTGCTATAACCACACAGAGACCTCAGGGCTGAGATCCTGCCCCCGGTGTTCTTTCGAATTCCAAATGCTTTAAGGAAGCAAAGACTATTATAGTAATGCCTACATGGTCAGCCTAAATACCTCCCAGGATGCCACAGATTTGGTTTACCCAAATATTTAGTGAGCATCTACTATGTGCAGTTACCATGCTGTGGGGGACAAATGTCCCTACAATAAAGGAGCTTGGTAAGAGAGAGAAGAGGCACATGTCTAAAGATACATAAAATACAGCGAAGTGTTGAAAGACACCTGAACAATGTGTTATGTAAGTTCAGAAGAAGTAAAAACTCTGCTGTGGCGGTTCCCTGGAGGTGGCACTAAATTTTTCTGCAGAAGGATGGGCAGCATCAAGACAGGTAAACAGAAGGATGGACTAAAGGTCATTCCAGGTGGAATGAAGCCCACTGGCCTAACACTTGGATCAGCAATAATACCTTCAGTGTAGCATCATGGTTCAAAGACCCGAGCTTGAATCCTCACTCTATTGCTTGGGTAAAAAGCATAACTTATACATAGTAAGAAATATTGCAATCTAACACATTACCATCATCTTTCTCCTAGTTCCCCCAAAAGGCTGTGGAGTTAAGAGCTGATTTCAGATCAGAAGATGGGAAGGTTGACATTTAAGTGGAAATGAAACCATGACACTTTTTTTTTCAATTGGGGTGACAACAGTTAGTAAAATTACATAGGTTTCAAGTGTACAATTCTGTAATACATCATCTATATATTGCACTGTGTGTTTAGCACCAAAAGTTAAATAAATCTCCTTCTGTCACCATATGTTTGACTCCCTTTTCCCTCTTCTAATTCTCCCCTTCCCCACCCCCTGAACTGATGTCTGTGTCTATGAGCTTTTGTTTCTTTATGTTGTTTGTTGCTTTCAGTTTTATATCCCACATATGACAGATTTTCTTAAAGGCAAGAATCAAAGCGGGTAAAACACAGACGTGTGATGTGAAGCCTGGGAACCCCTGGTGAGGCTGCAGAAACGCTCTGCTGGGCAGGGCAGCTGGATCAGCTCCCTTTAAGCTGAGATGTGTTCAACTCTAAATACAGACACCCCGAGTCCCTTGCAGCCCTTCTCTCTCCTCCCTGCAATGGTGCCTTCTCTGGCTGGAAAAGGCACAGGTGGCCGTGTTAATCCAAAGAAATCTGATGTTGCTGCTAGTTACTGAACTTGTTTACAGCGTATGCAGGTGTCACCCACACAAGTCCTTAGAAGCACTGGCAGAAATAAAATGAAAAGTCACGGCTGTGAAAGGATCCTGAAACTGCTGGGTAGGTGTATGCCGAGAAGAAAGAGAAAACCCCTGGAAAGGATCCAGACACAGCTGACGTGTTGCAGTTGTAAAAATCCCTCAAGAAATCATGGCTCCTCAAGATGGGTGGTGTGCTGCTTTGGTGTGGGGCAAGCCAGCCGCCGACTGGAGTCACAGTGGGTTTTAAATAGGTCAACAGCAACAATGACATAACTTGGCCAGCTGTGTATCACAGAATCACCAAGCCCTAGTGAACTGAACTGCGTGAGGAGCATGATAGCCTGGCAAATTGAACTTTCTGCTTAACTGGGAAAACCCATGCTCTTTTAAATCCTATGGCTGATCATCTTAGAAGAATACATTTGTCCATTTTCCTGTTGTATGAAGGAGAGTATACTAAATGTAACTGAATAGCTTATTTAATACTCATGCATTATTCGTTGAAGGCCTGCCACGTGTCAGGTACCAGGCTAGACAGGTACTAGGGATATAAAGGTAGCAGGATGTGGTCCTGAGCTCACTGGAACTTACCAGGCACCGCAGGGTAATACTGAGAATTGCAGCCCCACAAAGCAATGAAGGCGTAGGTCCCTGGGCTGTGTGATTGGTGTTAATGGTACCCACTGTGCTGACAGGCTCACACAATCCTATCAGGAACACAGCCCTGCCAGGGAGGGTGAGGTGGAAGGTGTCCACTTCCAGGGAAGGGGCAAGTTAGTTTGAAAAATGATCTCTATATGGATCAGATATTCATGTTTCATTTCTCTCCATGAAATGCCTCCTTCCAGCAAAATTGCTGCTGGGCTGCACTGAACCCCCAAACCTAACCCTGTGTGTTTTCTTTCTTTGTCTGTCTCTGTCTGTCTGTCTGTCTCTCTGTCTCTCTCTCTCTCTCTCTCTCTCTCTCTAACACACACACACACACACACACACACACACACACACAGAGGAAGATGTGCACACTCATACACACAAGTTTTGCCCAGGAAGGCATCTTTTAGTTTTATGAGTCACTTCTTCCTGCTAAAAGCTATCAAATGCTGAAAAAAACTTCAGTCTAACATTCTTCTGATGTGACCACATTTTTCACTTCTAATTGGAACTCTCAGCACCTAGCTGAAATGTATTCGTGTTTTCAGGAAGAAAGCAATGATTCAGAAGGTGTTTGTTCTTGTTGGGAAATGGGTTCAGAGCTTCCTCATCCCCTCTCCAGGGCTGCACCCTCCTCCAGTCTCTGCTCACAGACTACTCTGAGAGCAGCAAGCAGCCTTCCTTCCATGCAGCAAGTCCCTGCTGCTCAGTGTGTGATCAGAAGGGGGCCCTGGGAGCCGGTGATGAACCGTGTGTGCTGCCAGCCTGGGCTCTGGTCCGTGCGATGCTCTCGCTTAAACCGGGGAAGCTCTGGGTCCCCTTCATGGGGCAAGTGGAGAAGCAGACTTGCGGAGTCTGCACTTCCATGGTCAAGTGGGAGGGCCCGAGAGGAGGCAGAGGGACCTGGCTCCACAGCTGCTACCATCCCTCGCCGGCTGCGAGACTGCTTGAGCGGGTTTCACCTCAGTCCCAACTGCCTTATCTACCAAACGGACATAATATAGCCAGCTCTGCCTGCCCCGTGGCTTGTTGTCAGATATACAATGAGATGATGTATGTGAACGTGGTCATGTTTATATGTTTATACACTGTAAAAAGTTATTCAAGGGGTGACCAGTTAGCTCAATTGGTTGGAGTGTGGTGCTGATAACACCAAGGTTGCCGGTTCGATCCCCGCATGGGCCACTGTGAGCTGTGCCCTCCTTAAAAGAGTCAACTATGCCATTGTAGCATGAAAGCAATGTGTAACCAATGACCATGGCTGTTCCCCAATAAAAATTTAAAAATAAAAATAAATAAAAAGTTATCCAAATGGATTGAGAAGGGGGATGCTTTTTTCACAAAGCTGACTTGCGTCCCCTGTGCACGCCGCCGACCCCTCCCCCAACCCTGCCACTCCTTGGACCATCAAGACAGAAGGCCTGAAGGCTGATGGAGGTGATAGTCATTCAAGCTGTCAAGGCTATGAAATCAGGAGCTGTTGGGTGGAACCCACAGACTGCGGTAGGCTCTGCAGAGACAGGCTTGCTCTCAGTCTGGGGAAATGCACGTGCCTACCTTCTTGCCTTCTCCGTATATAAGGGGAAACTTCAAGTCATCATCCTCAATGGTTTTGTAAGCCCTGTAGGGGGATAAATAACATTTTTAAAATGGTTTGCACTCAATTAGTGACCCGCTGCCCTGACACAGGCTGCTAGGTACTTTCTTTTCCCTGAGACTCTATCCGCTCACCATACTAACAACCTTTCTTTATAAAGAGTTATTCTCCCTACAGCCCAGCGTTTCTCTCTGTGTGTGTGTGTGTGTGTGTGTGTGTGTGTGTGTGTGTAGTATTTTAACAAACCAGAAAAATACCAAGGCTTTATATGCTTGAAGAGGAAGGAAATAAGTTGGTATACACATAATTAGTGAGAAAGGAAGATGTGTTTCTGTCAGAAGCATTTAGTGCCCATGCAATAATGAAGTGCCCAGCAGCAGTGACAGGGTCCTCCTTGTCATTAACCCAAAACTGAGCCACAGCAGAGCTCCAAGATGGATGGAGTATGAAACTGCTCTAAGAGTCAATTCTCACCTTTAGGGGTGGTTTACACCAAAGCAGCCTCATGTTAGGATGGCTGGAGCAGGACTATTTGGAGATTGTTTGACCTTAGGATGATATTCAAGGTTGGCAGAAGATTCCGTTTCACAATGGCTATTAAACGGCCATTCGACACACAGAAAAAAAACCCAGTTTATGCTTCAATGGCTTTTCTGGACATGGATGTCCAAATGCCAGTGCACACACAGTGAAGGCTGGCCAGGCTAAGGCCAGAGAGCAAATGAAGCCCACATCTTGCAATTTTGCTCATAAGGAAGTTGAAAAACAAGTAAACAAACATGGCACCCGATTACTAGCTGCACCACCTTGAGCAGTAGCTGTACCTATTTTGGTCTCCGTTTCCTCATATATAAAATGAGGATAATCATACAGGATGTACAGAGCTTAGCACCAAGCCTGGCACTTAGCAAGTACTCAATTAGTGGTAGCTAGTACAAATATTTTGTAGATGATTAATACTTGGCACACCAGTTCCCTTTTCTGCAATGGGGACAGCACTACTTCTCACTTCAAAGAAGTATAAAGAAGACTAAGTAAAAGCCAAGGAAGGTTCTACTAGGTCAGGCGCAAGAAGCAAGATGCTTTTCTAAAATGATGTCTCCAGAGTACATGAAAAACCAACTTGTGAAATGGCCTCCCAGTCCTGGATACATCTAGGCAACTTGAGAGTGAAGCTGAAATCAAATTTATGGAAGTTCTTGAGATACAAAAGAATGCAACCTCATTTTCACAAAGTTCAACCCCCAAGCTAAGGCAGGTAACATCCTTTATTTCCAGGTAGTTATTTAGAGAAGTTGTTCCTTGCCAGGGGTAGAGGAAGGATCGGTGCAGTTTTGGCACCAGACGTACCTGGGCTCAAGTTCAGCACTGCTGCCTGTGCCTGGGCAGGTAGATGAGCCCCTCAGGGTCCTCATTAATCAGAGGGCAAAAACAGGGCTCACTCGTGGGCTTGTGGTGAGGATTTCCACGGATTAGCACAGTGCCTGGCACATGCTGAGACCCCGAGAAAAGGTAGCTGCTGCTGCTGCTGTCAGGGGAGCCTGCACTTTAGGAATTGCATTGTCAAAACCAGAACTTCCTGCCCCCAAATCTACCAAACTAACACTAAGTGGAAATAGCTACTTACATGGTTTCATACTCACATAAACTATTTAAAACACTGGTATACAAGTCATTGGGGAATCAATAGAGCTATTATTAGAACACAGACTCAGCATTGGTGGGTGAATGAGTTTGTAAACCAGTGTTTCTCAACCTCAGCTGCCTAGTCCATCACCTGGGAGGGATTTAAAAAATCCTCATGCCCAGGTCACCCCTCAAAGCAATTAAATCTGAACTTCTGGGGATGGGACCCAGACATAAGGAATTTTATTTTGGCTTCCCAGGTGTTTCCAATGTGCAGCCAAGGTTGAGAATTACTGCTGTAGACCAAGTGTCGTTAGCTAACATTCAAAATCAGTTGCTAAGCCTCCTGTCAGCTTGTCCCTAAAGATGACAGACTGTATGGCTCGAGGGGGCGGAGGGAAATGGCCTGAGAAAGGCTCTGAAATGGGCATTAACAGGGCTTGAGGACTGTACAGAAAGAAGTGGAGGGAATGAGAAGCCAGACTCAGCCAGAGGGGGACGCAGTGGGGATGGTACCAAGAAAGGGGCTGGGACCTCGCGATCCAGGCACAGGAGCCTGGAATTCAATGGGAGGCAGAAGGCAGCAACTCTAGAATCAATCCTTGGCAATTACTTAGAGCTCAGAACAGACAGGCCAGGAGCACTCTAACTAGGCTTGAAAAGGCAGTGAGGAAACGGTTCTCTGGCTCTACCACAAGCCCAGGTAATCGAATGCCCTCAGGACAGGGACATTTCAGGAGCCTGAACACTGTGTTACCTACCACAGCTCTGAAAGACAGACCATGGAATTGTCACCCGCAGGACCAAGAAAAGTGCAAATTCTATGTTTCAGCTTCTGTTTCTTCATCTTCTAAACAACAACAAAAGCTAAAAATGGAAGAGACACCTCTGGAAAAGGAAGGTTTGTTCCATGCCTGCCACTGTTGGTGTCCACCAAAGGGGAGCTCTCTTCCCCCACAAATGACGAGGAAGGGTTAATCAAAAAACAAAGGGAGAGAGTACAACACCCTCTCCCCCTCAGTCTTTCAGGGGGGCCTAAGCACAGTTCACCGCATAAAGATAGGTGGACTTCCCTCCACAGTTAAAGTCTTGAATGATAAAGAATAAAATAGTCAAGGGTTAAAACTGAAAACGCTTCAAGTCGGTATAAATTAGTGCCAGCTAACAATAATGACAGAGGCTACGACTCACTGGACACCTTCTCCACGCCAGACACCGGGCTTGGTGCCTGCTGACAGTGTCTACAATCTCTCAAACACCCTGCCATGTCCCATCTCACAGATGAGGGGACTGAGGCTCAGAGATGGTAGGTTACTCTCCCAAGGTCACACCCTCCATGTTACTGGCCCTAAAGCTAAACTCAGACTTTAGAAAAAACACTAAAGCAATGTGATGTTAGGGCTCAGCTTGGAGAGCTTCTCATTCTAGTTGAAGAGTCAAATCAGATCATTACTGTCCAGCTTTCTCGGGGTGAAAAGCAGGTATCTGACGAAGGGGGACTTTTGGTAAAAGAGGAAGGGCATTTCCTCTGTTGGGCAAAAGAACAAAAGGTGACCGTGTGGGGACAAAACTAGGAACAGTTCTACACAGTCTACAAGGAAGATCGGAGAAAAGTCGGGAACACAGCCATCTGTGTACTTGACCGGTCACCGCTTCCCAGGTCACTGCATCTGAGGCCACAGAATCCAACAGAGTCCTCGTCCACAAACAGCAGGCCTCCCTCAAACCTTCTCACAGTTTAAGGGGGCCACCCCGGTTTCTGCCCCCCTGGGAGGCCTGTCTGCTGTTCATATTACAGTACAGTTCACGTCAGGGCTGTGGGCTGGAATCTAAGCTTTCAACGCGTCCCTGGCTTCCATCCTTCTCAGCTGGGGAAGGAGAGAGGCTTGAAGCTTGAGACCTCCAAGACATGGAGGTAGTTGGGACTGGAAATGAATAAAAAATACCTATTTTTTCACACCAGATCCTATGATTTCTGAAATCCTGGTTAAATTTTTAAAAATAACTCCCAAAATAGATTGCTCCCTAGTTGTACAATACTATAATTGACCAGAGATCATATTCAAATAATTACTTGAAGCAAAA